TGTTGTTGCAAGGAGCATACTGTGTTTTTATTTTTTAAAATAAGACTTTTTACATTTTGGGGGAAAAGTCCTTGTAAGATAATGCAGTTTTACGGGTCTAAATGCTTAAGGAGATTTTTGTTTTTTAAACAGCAACAGCCTAAAAAAAAAAACAAAAAAAATTAAACAAACAAAAATAAATAAGAAACAACAGCCTGAAAGGATGAAACAAATTTCCAGGGAGAGATAATGGTTAGGAGAAAAAAATCAGTATTTTTATGGTTTTGTTTATTATTGATAACCTGCGCATTACAATTTAACAAATAATAACAAGCAACGAAAACAAAACTTTAGTTTTTGGCCGGGAGTCAGACCACTTGAATGCCAGTCCTGGCTGAGTGTAACTCACTTTGTGCCCTGAGTAAGGTGCTTACCATCTCTGGGCTTATTTCCTCAGCTAGCCAATATTTATTTATGACTAGTCCTACAGCATAGTAATTAAAAGTGTTGGTTTCTGGTGCTAGATTTTTAGGGTTTAAAACTCTGCTCTTCTTCTCTTTATTGTGTGACTTACAGCAAGTTACTTAATACTATATCTGAGCCCTTCTGAACCTCAGTGTCCCCATCTGTAAATGGAGTTAATAGTAGCATTGGTATCTTAAGGCTGGTGTGATAATTAAATGAGCTGAGACGCTTGAAATACTTAGAAGGGCTCAATAACTACTCACTCTCTTTAGGATAAATATTATCATCCCCAGTTTAGACATGAGAAAACAGAAGCTCAGAGAAATTAAATGATTTGTCACACCTACATACAGCAGAGACCAGACTCCAGTCTAGACCTTTCAACTTTGAATATACCTTTTGGCCTATATAGTAATCATTCAGCAAACATGCTGCCTGACTCTTTCCACTACACCACACTGTCCTGGGGGTACAGAATCTGTAATGGACATTTCAAAAGAGACTGTCCCTACTCTCCAGATAATGATGATTTCATTGAAGAAAACTAGATTTTTTAAAAATCCTCAAATACAAAACAAAGTCAATGATATTATTACTCAGTAGATAAATCCTAGTTCCAAAGAAAAAGCAGAAAGGTGAGAGGTCAATGACTAGGAGCCAGAGCAGTGAAAAAGGGCTTTTGAGAGACATGACATGCAGTTGGAATATGCGGTACTGGAGGGGGGAGGGAGGGACCCTTAAATGGCTGAGTATCATCAACGGAAGCCATTTGACCTTTACAGCTGATGAGGAAAGCCCTCCCTGCAGAAATATGGTCAACGTCTTTCACAGGGAACTCCTCCTACTCTCCATGTGCCAGAAACCTCAGCCAAGAAAGGAGAGTGAAGAGGCGACACAACCCTGTAGGAAATACAAGGGCATAAGTCCAAGAGGCAGTTCCACTGGCCTGTTTTGTTATGGTCTGAATCGCCTGAAGCTCTAAATAAGCCTGAAAGTCAGAGAGAAATGAGTCCCTCTGTTGTGTATGTAATGCTCTTGCAAATGGGATTTTTACAGTTATTTTTAGCATGGTGCCTAATCACAATTTATCCTGGCCTGAGAAAAGGGTTGAGGAATTAATCCTTCAGTTATGACAAAAGCCAGAAGTGAAGTAAAAAATTAAAATGCCGCCCTGGCCGGTTTTGCTCAGTGGATAGAGTGTTGGCCTGCAGACTGAAGGGTTCCAGGTTCGATTCCAGTCAAGGGCATGTACCTTGGTTGCAGGCACATCCCCAGGAGGGGGTGTGCAGGAGGCAGCTGATCAATGTTTCTTTCTCATCGATGTTTCAAACTCTCTATCCCTCTCCTTTCCTCTCTATAAAAAATCAATAAAATATTTTAAAAATTCTAAAAATTAAAATGCCATACACTCTTTGACCTCCTACCAAGAACATTAGGAAATCTACTACATGTTCCTTCAGAGTAAAGGCCAAAGCCCAGAGGATATCAGGCTCAACCAGTCACTTTCTTTGCTTCAGAGATATTTTAAAAGAGGCAGCCCAAAGTGCCACCTGAGATGTTTTGCATCATATGCATGTTATATTTGCATGTGGAGTAGTTAGACTTTGTTTGTAAATGAGTCTGTAAATGAGTCTATATGATCCTGAAAGGGTCATAAATTGCTTTTGTTCTCCTCTTTAAAAATTTTTATTGATTGATTTTAAAGATAAAGAGAGGAAGGAAGAGAGAGAAACATTAATTTGTTGTTCCACTTATTTACGCATTCATTGGTTCATTCTTGTATATGCTCTGACCAGGGATTGAACCCTTAACCTTGGGGTATCAGGGAAAACGCTCTAACCAACTGAGCTACCCAGCCAGGGCCAGTTTTATTTTCCTTTAGGTGTAGAGCCCCATCCTTGTTTCTTTAAAATAGTCAGTCCGGCAAGTTGCTTTAAAATTGGCCTGGGAAGTCCAAAAGGTGTCAGGACAGGTTACTAACTGGGGCAGCCAATTCCAGTTCAGAGAACAACAAACTGCTTCTCCAACTGGTGCCAGGGTGAGGCATTTACTCCTAGGTGTTTACTAGGAGAGGCAGCCAGCTTGCGGTGCAGGTCATTCCCTGGCCTTGGTTTTCAAAGATCCTTCCAAACCGGTCAGGACCAACCCAGTACTCTTTGAATAAACTTGTTTTTTATCAGAGAGAAAAATCCTAGAATGAAACATTCAAGACAAAACTGATTTTTTAAAAGAGAGAATATGTATTCAGGTATCGCTCCTTTCGAATGCAAAAGGGGCAATGTCAACTCTCCTGGGCACATAATCTAGGATCCTGAAATGAAGATTCTGCATCACCAATAATCGCATTTAAAAATTAATTGATCTTTTTTCTTCTTTTTCTTTTGAGATTTGATGATTGTTCTTATGTATTTGTTCCTCTTAGAAAAGTCTCATTTTTGACTGGAATCGGACTTAGAGGTAGAAGCTCGCAGAGAGGACTCGAGGCAAATCTTTTCTTTGGCCTCCTTCATTCTCTTCAGCCTTTCTGTGGCCTCTTCCTTCTTTGTCTTAGGATGTTGTTTCTGCAGAGCCACACACTGACATTTGTGTTGCAGGACACTGGGAGTCACAAGACACCGAATCTTGGGTGCTTTGGTCTGAGGTTTCTTTCCTCTTCCTCCTCCTCCTCCTCCTCCTTCCTCCTTCTTCTTCTTCAATATGTTTTTTATTGATTTTTTTAGAAAGAGAAGAAAGGGAGAGGGAAAGAGAGAAACATCCATGAGAGAGAACCATCGATTGGCTGCCTCCTGCACGCCCCCCACTGAGGATCGAGCCCACAACCCAGGCATGTGCTCTGACCAGAATGGAACCCTCCACCTCTCAGTGCATGGGTCGATGTTCCACCAACTGAGCCACACTGGCCAGGGCCTTATCTTCTTTGTTTAGGAGCTGTCTCTCAACATATAGGCAGACACCATCTTCTTTAGAGAGATTGAAAAGTTTCCGGATTCTGCGAGCTCTTATGGGCCCCAGGCGACATGAGATCAGGAACATCTTTCTCCCCTTTTTTAAACAATGACCAAGCTGAGTTTGGCATCTGCAACGTAGCCCTGAACAGATCTGCACTTCCTCTCTCTCCAGTCCTCCTGGGTCTATAACAGGAACAGCCCTTAGCAGCAGACAGACACAGTCGTGGGTCAAGACACCCTGCTTCCTGGGGAAACCTGGTTTGTCATTCCCACCACTGCTTTGAATCACATAACCCTTTCATTCTTCACCCAGAGCATCAGCAGCAACTTCTTTCTTTTTATTTTATTTTAATTTTTAAATATTTTTTATTGATTTCAGAGAGGAAGGGAGAGGGGGAGAGAGAGAGAAACATCAATGATGAGAGAGAATCATGGATCGGCTGCCTCCTGCACATCCCACACTGGGGATTGAGCCCACCACCCGGGGAATGTGCCCTGACCCAGAATTGAACTGTGACCTCCTGGTTCATAGGTCAACACTCAACTATCAAGCCACTCCAGCCGGGCAGCAGCCACCTCTGTGGCCATACGCTTCCCATAAAAGGTACGAAGTTTGCGTTCATCATCCACTTCCATGAGTTTCTGGCAGCCAGTGGCTGGAAAGAGAGAGATGCTCAGCTTCTTCCTGAAGCAGCCAACCTTGGCATTTTTCTAAGAACCTAAAACTGCTCTAAAAAAAAAAGTCTCTTGAAAAGAAAAACAAATGAACAAAAAATACCAGTTACACAAGAAACAAACAAAAATATAATTAATTTTGCCATCTTGTTTTCTCAGCTTCTCCTTTACCCAGTCTCATAGAATCATTAATATATAGTCCAATAGAACTTAGCAGGGAATAAAAACTAGAAAGAAAATTAATGTTTATTGAGAACCAATTGAGTGCTAAAAGGCTTTACATAGGTTATTTCTTTTAATCGTCATTATTTCCCCCATTTTATAGGTGAGGAAAAGAAAGCTTACAGCTAGTAAGTGTCAGATTCAAAATTTTAACCGAGGCATACAGGATTCCACTGATTTCCAGAAAACCATTTTCTTATTCACTCTTAGTGTTTGCACATTCCTTAGGATACTCATTTTTTTTAAAGACACGCATTCCTCTAGTTCTTTAGCTCTCTCATGCACATCTGACAAGAGAAGGTATCATTTACCAAAAGTCTTGTTTATAGCTAGTAATTACAGGGATGAGATTTAAATACACACCCTTCTGCCTCCCTGGGAAAAACAATAATTACATGAGAAACAAGAATCTCAGAGAAAATGAAAGTTTATTGGCTATAATTAATAAAATTCTGTGGGTCAGGAATCTTCATCTAAGAATTACAGAATTTTAAGGAACGGAATTACAAAATCTTAGAATTCCATAGAATTTTAGAATTTTAAGAAACAGGAATAATTATATGATTATATGTATATGCGCACAGAGACATACACACACATTATTACAGACAGAGAACCATAGAATTTAAGGAATGGAAGAAATTGTAAATGAGAAAACTTCAGACCCAATACATTTCTATCACCACAATTACTTTAGCAAACCTGGTTGCCACATGGCCATATTAAAATTTGTGCCCAAGGGTTCTAATTCCCAGGCAAGTACTCAATCCAGGATTAAGGAATTATGTGGTTTTCTTCAGCATTTCAAGTCTCCGGTCAAGATCTTCAAAGTCAATTTCCTCAGAGTCATAAGGGTCAATGGAAAGACTTGCTTGAGGTTTTATATCAGGCAAATCAGGCAGCATAAAGTTATCAAAACCAATCTTGGTTCTTGATGCTGGCTTTGGAGAAGTTTGAGGGTTGAATCCTGGACCTGTTCATTTCAAAAAAATGTAATTAAAAGTCACAACAATATGTCCCCCAGAATGAAATCTCAGCCTCAAAGACTATGAATGCTTTTGAAAGAACAGTATATAATAGGCTGGAAAACTAGACAATTTCCCCAACATGGAAATGGTGGTAATGGTTACACTGTGTTGGCAATCTTCTTCAAGGGCAATTGGAATTTTTTTTAAAGGCACAATTATTCAAAACATGTGACAAGATGATCTAGTACAGTAGTGGTTTTAAAACTTTATCTGTATTAAAAATCTGTTTGAGATCCATATCCACTTTGAAAATTGTTAACTATTATCAGGGAACATTCTGTACTCCGGGTAAATCACTAATAAACTTCTCTCACCAATGGAGGAATGACAGTCTTATAACAACTGAAATAGCTTCCATGACTATCAAGCAATTCCAACTACTACCAGGATTCCTTATACTTACCAGGAACCAGTATAGGACGCAAATCATTCTTAAAGGAGTCATTCTGAAAGAAAAGAAAGATCACTGGGAAGCAACTGGTTTGAGTTCCAAACACATATTTTGTTCATAGTAAGCCTTCAATAACTATTTCTTAAAATTAACTTAAGTGAACTTTATCACAATCACGCTGCCTTCTTGTTTGGGGCAAAGTGTACGGATGCCTTCTGGAAATCAGCCTTAGGAGTGACTATGGTTTTTGCTTCTTCTGTCACCTGTGGCCTCGTACAAGAACGGGGAAGTCTTTTATCTTCCAGTCTAGAAATGCTGCTTGTGAAGAATGATTCAGTTTAATAAAATCAGAGGATTCTTTCTCCAACAAATAAATAGCACCAAAAAAAAAAAAAAAAAAAAAAAGGAGAGGTGGGGAAAAGGAAGTATTAGAGATTAAAGAATTAAAGAGACATATCAACTGAACATAATGTGTGGATCTTTTTGGATCTTGATTTCAACAAAATAACTGTAAAAATGCATTTTTGAGGCAATCAGAGAAATTTAATATGGGTTGAGTATTATATGATATTAAGGAATTGTTTTTCAATGTGTTAGCTTTCATAATGACATTGTTTTATATTATAAAAACAAAGGGTTCATGTTAGAAATATATATTGAAGTATTTACAGGTAAAATTATGTAATGCCTAATATTTGCTTTAAATTCCTTCTCTCTTAGGAAGAAATAGGTAGATGAAATAAGAGCAGCAGAATGTTGATAACTGTGGAAAATGAGTGATGTGTACGCGAAAGTTCAGTATATTTTTCTCTCTAATTATGAATATGTTTAAATTTTCCATAAAGTTTTCTTCTTTTTTTTTTTTTTACAGAAATGTTATTCTTAAAAATACAGCTAAAGAGGACAGAGCTGCCCTAGCCGGTTTGGCTCACTGGATAGAGCGTCGGCCTGGGGACTGAAGAGTCCCAGGTTCGATTCCGGTCAAGGGCATGTACCTTGGTTGCAGACACATCCCCAGTAGGGGGTGTGCGGGAGGCAGCTGATCGATGCTTCTCTCTCATCGATGTTTCTAACTCTCTATCCCTCTCCCTTCCTCTCTGTAAAAAAGCAATAAAATATATTTTTAAAAAAAGAGGACAGAGCTGCGTTTAATTTGTAATAAGATTTCAATACATGCACTTATTATTTTAGGCTAATTTTCCCAACCCCCAACTTTTGTGATACTGTCCTATTACCACACAGTGCCAAAAATCAAATAAACACATTAGTACAATATTTAGAATCATTATTAGCAGTATCTGGTAGTTACACTGTCCTAGTATAGAATGAACCACCTCAGTAGCTTCTGAGGCTAATACATTTCTATCACCACAATTACTTTAGCAAACCTGGTTGCCTTCGTTTCTGCAACATCATGCAGAGTTAGTGATTCTTCTTTTTATTCTTAAATCAGAGGACTTGTGCCCTGGGTGGTGTTGCCAAGTGGTTAGGCCCACAAACCGAAGGGTTGCAGGTTCGATCCCCAGTTGAGGCTTGTGTGAGAGGCAACCAATCCATGTGTCTCTCTCACATAGATGTTTCTCTCTCTCTCCCTCTCTCTCTCTCTTTCTCTCTCTCTCTCCCCTTCCCCCCTCCCTCCCACTCTTTCTAAAACTCAAAGGAGCCGAAACCGGTTTGGCTCAGTGGATAGAGCGTTGGCCTGCGGACTGAAAGGTCCCAGATTCGATTCCGGTCAGGGGCATGTACCTTGGTTGTGGGCACATCGCCAGTAGGAGATGTGCAGGAGGCAGCTGATCGATATTTCTCTCTCATCGATGTTTCTAACTCTCTATCTCTCTCCCTTCCTCTCTGTAAAAAATCAATAAAATATATTTAAAAAAATAAATAAATCAATAAATAAAACTCAAAGGAAAAAATATTCTTGGGTGAGGTTTAACACACACACACACACACACACACACACACACAAAACCAGAGGACTTGCACTCCAAAAGTAGAAGCTGAACAATACACAGGGTGTTAATTCAGACAAATAATTTCAACAAGGAGTTTATGCCCAAAATATAAAATCTCAAAAACAGCTCCATGGGGCCAGATATGAATAATAAAACAATTTGTTTTTACTTCACCCTGAAGGAACAAAGAGGGAAGAAAATTAATGCCTGTGGCTCTTTACTTTTTACGTATTTGACTTCTCTAAATTTGTATATACACCCAGTTATGAGATTTTTATACTATTTTCATGAGAGTAAACTGTTTTCACTACATATAAATTGAATACATCTCATCTGAAATTCGAGTCTAAATCACTGTCCATGAAAGACTCTCACATTTGTCGAGCTCGTACAAATGTTCTTTGCAGTCTATACCGTGGTATTGTCCAGAGGTTGATGAAAGGCTGTATGTGGCCCTATTTTCTCATGAATTTCAGCACAAAAAACACATTAAATATAAGCTAAATAATTGCCTTAAAAAAACCTCACAAAGATCATTTTACCACTCAAAAGGCCCATTTAGAAATAGACGCTAGCAGTACTGACAGTCTCATTTCAGATTCAACTTCCTTAGCCGTACTGACCTGTCTTCCAGGAGGAAGGGATGAGAAACAAGGGACCGGGGACGGCACAGGTAAAGGCTCTGGCGCAGATATTGGTGATGCCCAAACTGGATGCCCAGGTCCTGCTACAGTTCCCCCTCCGCCGTCAAGGGCGCCTTTCTTGGCCTCCTCGGTAAGTCCAACACTAACCAGGTCTGCCGGGGCTTCAGCCTGAAGCAAGGGGGCGAGAATAATATCGGGTCCTCGATTTATTACACATTTGTTTATTGCATACCTACTACAGGCCAAACTCCTTGGAACACACTGGGGAAGAAACAGTGAGCAAAGAGACATGGCTCCTGCCCTCAGGAAACAGAATCTAGTGTAAGTCAGGGACAGTGAACAGCAACCTCAGGCTTTCTGACAGACACCCTTCTTCTTTCCCTGTTTCAATGACTGTGTTCGGAGTACCTATGAGGTCAGACACTGTGGCCCACCAGTGATGCAGAGCTAAGCATAAATATGCATCCTGATGTCTACAAGAAAGTGTAGCAAATCTTATCAGGGGTAAACTCTTATAAACCAGGCACAGTTCTGGGGATGCCACGATGAACGCAACAGACGAACGTCCCTGCCCTCCTGGAGCTGACGATATTCCAGTGGGAGAGACAGATAATAAACAAGATCACTGTGTTAGATAAAGACAGGAGTGATAGAGAAAAAATATAAAGCAGGGGAGAGGGAAGAGATGGACATTTTAGAGAAGGTAGCTAATAAGGGCCTCACACTGAGAGGGGGTGTGGGCAGCCTCTTCAGTCTTAGGAAAGCCATTGTCTATTATTCTAAGTGAAAGAAAAAGTCACTGGGTGGGGGGGACTTAAAAGCAGAGGTGTGACATCATCTGACTTGGGTACTAACCAGATCTCTGAAGGCTGTATTGAACATCCATTAATGAGGAAGAGGAGTAGAGAAGCAGGAAAAACAGTTAAGAGCCTCTTGCAATCATCCAGGGAAGAGGTTAGTGCAGGTTAGCCCAGGATACTGTCAGTGGAGATGGTGAGAAGGGGCAGGATGCTGCCTATATTTAGACGGTAGAATAACCAGGACTTGCTGAAGATTGGTTGGGGGCTAGCAGTTGAGAGAAAAGGGGGAGTCAAGAGATATCAAGATTTTTTGCCCTCACCTAGAATCCCCATGCACTGTAGAGTGAATGGGTTCTTGGAAGGGGTAAGTCTTATCTGGTAAGAGCACATGTTAAGTTTGAGATGCCTCTGAAATATTCAAGTAAAGGTATTTATATCAAGAAAGTGGGTGGATATATGAGGATGGAGTTCATACCAGCCTAGAGTCCTTAGCTAGTGATATACTAGTATGACTAGAAGTCCTCACCATTAAGATGGTATTGAAAACCAGGATGTTACGGCCCCTTGAGGTTGAAACGGCCCCTGAGAGGTTGAAATGGCCCCTGAGAGGTTGAAACGGCCCCTGTGAGGTTGAAACGGCCCCTGTGAGGTTGAAATGGCCCCTGTGAGGCTGAGATGGCCCCTGCGAGGCTGTGCCAGCCCTTGGGAAGCCAAGAAAAATACCACATGATCTCACTCATTTATGGATAATAAAGACCATTATAAACTGATGAACAAAAATAGATAAAGAGGCAGAGCAGCATTGAACAGACTGTCAAACTACAGTGGGAAGGCCAGGGAGGGTTGGGGTGGGTAAGAGATCAACCGAAGGACTTGTATGCATGCATATAAGCATAACCAATGGAACAAGACACTGGCTGGTAGAGGAGGCCAGGGGAAGGTCAAGGGGGGAAAAAAAGGAGACATATGTAATACTCTTTGTAATACTTTAAGAAATAAAACAAAATTAAATTTAAAAAAAAAGAAAAGAAAAACAGGATGTTAGATAAAATCACCCAGAGAGTAGGGAAGAAAGAGAAGAGGTCCAAGGCTGAGCCCTTGGGCACATCTCTACTACCATTTCATGTAGCGTTTACTTCTTCACAGTCCCTTTTGGTATTATCTATATTTTTACAATGTGTCATTTTTCCCCCCCAAAAAACATATAACTCTTTGAAAGAGAAAAAAAATGGGTAAAAGAGTCCCTATCAGGAAACCATCAGGAACAAAGCATCAGAAAAGACAAGCGTGCCCTTTAACCACAACCCAACATGATGCATGCTGCTCATCCATTGGAAGGCAGCCCAGTGGGAACACAGAGGACGGAACAGACTTCCTTTGTGGCTTCATGCCTGCACTAAGCACACGTTTGGTGCCTGAGGACAAGGTTATCCTTTATAAAGTTACCACAGACAATTTTATCAATGGCTAAAATAAGTCACTTCCCATATGAGGTGATTTGAGAGGCATTAGGGAGAAATCCCTCTGGCCTTAAAACAGTCCATGACCACCTTGTGGAAGCTTAATCCACCTTCTGTGATAATAATGATGATGATAAAAAGCAAAATTTGATTACATCTGTGATGGGCCAGGCATTGCATTTAAATCCCTTGTACGTATTAGCTCATTTAATTATCTCGACAAGCTTATGAGATTTGTTAATAACTATTAACAATTATTATCTCTCTTCTATTGTTAACAACTTAGAAGGGTCATCTGACAGTTACCAGAAGTGAAACTCTGTTAGGAAAAGTATGTGGGCGGAGAAAAGGTACAAATTTCACCTGATTTACAATCCTGACAGCTACCCCGAGAGCCACATTCATAAATAGGAAAAAAAAATCTTCCAGTGCACAATAAAAACCTCAGCTTTAAATCAATCCTCCCTTCTTGAAAGTACTCACCATGATGGTTGCCTTGGATTTATATGGCACATTATAGTTCTTAGCAATTTCTATCAGATACTGTTCCACTAAAACCTGGGGTAGACTGTTCACATTTAATTTACACATTAGCTGCAAAATAAAGAACATAACAAGAGTTGGTCACACACACACACACACACACACACACACACACACACCCTTACAAAGTAAGAAACAAAAAAAGTTTAGGTGATTTTTCACCTCTGCATCATTGCTCTTCATCTTTCTGGTCACTGTTATTTAAGATGTATGATTTTAAAAAGAAATATAACTTAGCGCCCTGGCCGATGTGCTCAATTGGCTAGAGCATCTTCCTGTGCAAAGAAGAGTCTAGGGTTTGATTCCCGGTCAGGGCATGTACCCAGGTTGTGGGTTCAATCCCCTGTCAGAGCGCATATGGGAAGCAACTGGTAGATGTTTCTCTCTCACATCAATGTCAATGTTTCTCTCTCACATCTCTCTCCCTCTCCCTTCCTCCTTCTCTATAATCATTGAAAACCATATCCTCAGGTGAGGATTTTTTTTAAAAAGATATATAATTTAGCAACAACAAGGAGGGGCCCTCCTTATAAGACAGCCCTTTCCTGGGGTGAAGGAACCTCAAACCAAATAGAATAAGAGAAAAAAAATAGACATAAAAATATTGTGAATCAAGAATTCTGATTTTATGACAAGTATTTGAATTATGTCAGAGGTAATATTCACCATACACAACAACCAGTACAGCAAGATATTAAGGAATCAGAATGGATACCCTGAGTGATGAGAATGTCCAACAGCCTGAAACAACTACTTCAGCCAGATGCCTGTGTCCAGCTGAATGTCAGTCCTGAATTACATAAGATGTTCAAAATTTGAAACTTCAAAGTTTCAATAACTTCTTTTGTATTATTAGGCCAGTTGCATTTAGGAAAATGAATGTTTTCTTAATAAAGAATCAGCCCAGGTGGTATAGCTCAGTGGTTGAGCATCGACCTATGAACTAGGAAGTCATGGGTTCAATTCCTGGTCAGGGCACATGCCCAGATTTCAGGGCTCGATTCCCCCTAGGGGGCGTGCAGGAGGGAGCTGATCAATGATTCTCTCTCATCATTGATGTTTCTATCTCTCTCCTCCCTTCTCTGAAGTCAATAAAAATATATTTTAAAAAAAAATATAGCATCTAAGTTTTATTGACTCTAGTTTTTGTTTTGTTTTTCATCCTCACCCGAGGAGGGAGGATATTTTTTCCATTAATTTTTAGAGAGAGTGGAAGGAAAGGGGAAGGAGGGAAGAGAGCAAGAAACATTGAAGTGAGAGAGACACATCGATTATTTGCCTCCCGCACGCTCCCTGGGGATTGAGCATGCAACTGAGGTACGTGCCCTTAACTGGGAATTGAACCCGAGATACTTTGGTATGCAGGTTGACACTCTAACCACTGAGTCAAACTAGCCAGGGCTACTCTAATTTTTCTTAATTGAGGTAACATTGGTTACTAACATTATATAAGTTTCAGGTGTAGAACATTATAAATCAACTAGAAGCCCGGTGCACGAAATTTGTGGGGGGGGGAGGTGGGGAAGAGGGGTCCCTCAGCCCAGCCTGCACCCTCTCCAATCTGGGACCCCTCGGGGTATGTCCGACTTCCGGTTTAGGCCCCAGGGATCGGGCCTAAACGGGCAGAGGGACATCCCTCTCCCAATCCAGGACCGCTGGCTCCTAACTCCTCTGCCAGCTTGCCTGATCGCCCCTACCTTGGCCCCTGCCAGCCTGATCGCCCCTACCTTGCCCCCCTGCTGGCCTGATTGCCCCTAACCACCTCTGCCTCGGACCCCTCTGCTGGAGGTGACCTGGCTGATCAGGGGAAGGCACCACCCCCATCACCTCACTGCTGCTGCCACTGGTGGCCACCATGGCTGCCTGAGCCTCAGGCCAGCCCTAGGCAGCAGCAGCCGCCATTCGCAGCTTGCTTGAGCCTCAGGCAGCCGCTGAGGCTTTGTCCGGAAGGACGTCCACCCTAATTAGCAATTACCCTTTTATTAGTATAGATATCTGTATACACTATAGGGTGCTGACCATCAAAAATCTAGTTCCTATATATCACCATATATTTTACCCCCTTTAAAAGATCTGAGTCCCCTAATCCAAGATCTTTATCCAAGTTCCTCCGCCTCCAATGCAAAAATTACTTCTATACATCTTTCACTCTACACAGAATTATGTGTTCTGAGTTTGCTCAGCTTTTCCCAGACTTCTTGGTTTAGAAAAATGTGCCTCTGGAAGTGGTACTACCCGAGAGCTGACAGTTCCAATCTCAGTGGTTCGACACAGCTGACCATACTCTTGGCTGTACTTTGCACACAGCTGATCAGATACCTGCAGCAAGCCATCACCAAGAAAGAAAGAAAGGCAAAATGCGTCAAGTTATGGCAGATTTGCTTTCGATAAAGAACAACCGAAAGAGCAAAAACCACTTTCATGTTACCTCACTGGAATGATGTTCTTTTAGCATCAAACAGCAATAACAAAATAAGCACTTTGCGTCCTAGCCGGTTTGGATAGAGCATCAGCCTGCAGACCAAAGGGTCCCGAGTTTGATTTCGGTTAAGGGTACAGGAGGCAACCAATCGATGTATTTCTCTCACATAATATTTCTCTCTGTCTTTCCCTCTCTCTGAAAATCAATGAAAAAAAATAACCTCAGATGAGGATTATAATAAAGGCAAATAAGCACTTTGCTTTGTTTTTAAGTATCTGATAAACCTCTAATTCTAAACACCGTATAAATTATGACACCCTTTCCCCCATAAAAGAAACTTAATTTCAAGTTTTATTTTTTTAGGCAAGGTTTTCCCCCCCTACATTGTCATTAAAAACAGTATTTATTTTTCACTTAAAGACTAACAGAAGAAAATACTTTTGGAGGGGGTTATTCTTTAAGAGAGGCTAGGATTCCCCAAGTCTAAATGAGTAACATTAGTGATACTCTCACTTACAATCATGGCACATGTGATTAAAACTCATCAAACTTACTATTTTCAGCTCAGGCACCTCTGACTGGAGTCGTGGAGCTGCCCAGATTAGTGTAGACACAGATTCAGCCAGACCAGAATCCAGGTCCCTAAGCAAAGCACAAAATCATGAAACTCAGAGCTTTCTGCTTCCCTCTTTCACTGCTTCAAAGGTAGTCCATGGACAAAGTTCAAAATATAATGTTATAATAAAATTTTTAAGCTGAAATTAGAATATGGACTTCTATGTACATATATGTATATAAAAGTATATAACACACATACTTGTGTTTATACACACATACATACATATTAGTATACATATATAAACTGAAAGGAAATATACCAAAATCAAATCCTCATTCCAGATTTGGTGATCATGGATTCTTTTTGGCTGTATTTTTCAACTTTTCTACTACAAGTTTATATTGTATTTTTACAGCTTAGGGAGGGAAAGGACATCTATTTGGTGTGTTTTTTTAATGGCTCTTTGGACTGACATATTCTTTTCAAGCAGAGACAAAGTCCCAAAAAGTTAGAGCCATAGGGGGCAGGGATGCCTTATCACTCCTTTGAGCCTGAGAAACAATGCCAGTTCAATAAGTCTCACTTTGTGGCCTGGATCAAGCTAAACCGGGCCAGCAGCAGGTCACAATACAGCTCCAGGATCTCCATGGCCTCCACGAGGTAGTCTTCCCGTATAATGTGCTCCACTCGGATCCGAGCTCGTTCATCTTTCCCAGCAGCCAGATGGTCAGCGACCTCCTTCCTTGCTTTCTGGGCCTGCTCGGCTGCAGCATAAAGCACACACATAGAAAAATGGATGTGTTTCAGATAAATGCTAAGCTGCTGTTACACCCATCCTAATATCAACAAACATTTATTGTGTGTCCAGGTTATAGTTTGTGTTACAAATAGAACCCTGGAAGGTCAAGATTATTATCTCCTTTAAAAAAAAAAAAGAATCAATTTAGCCCGGCTGTTGTGGCTCAGTGGTTGAGCTTTCATGGTTGGATTCCCGGTCAGGGCACATGCCCGGGTTTCGGGCTCGATCCCCGGTGGGAGGTATGCCAGGAAACAGCCGACCAATGATTCTCTCTCATCATTGATGTTTCTATCTCTCTCTCCTTCTCCCTTCCTCTCTGGTAATCAATAAAAATATTTTTTAAAAAGAAATCAATTTAAATAAGACAGGGCTAATTTGCTTTATTTATCTCAAATCACTCAGGTACTTCTTGTTTAAATTTCTTCATTTGTAAGAAGAGTATAAAACTTATCTGGATAATAATATGTATCACTGTATTATCAGGATCAAATAAAAGAATATGTGAGCATGCATTTTAAAATTCACAAGTTCTGTGGATGTCATCAATGTCATCTTCATTGTTCATGGTAACAAAAGGGGAACCACTGGATTTGGCTAAATTTCATTTATTTGGGGTACTTTCCTTAGGCCCCTAATACCTACATAATGCCCAAACACCTGCTGCCAAGATTTGGCTAAGTAATGCCCAAAAATCAATTTGAAACTTTGAGCAACTACTACCTATCTACCAATAAATTATACAGGGTGTTCCAAAAAAGGTATATACACTTTGACAGCTGATAGCTCAATTTTGAAATGAAATGTATTTTAATAAAGACAGTCTTTATACTTACTCAATACATTTTTTGGGACACCCTAGATTTCTGGGGGCACTCAGAAAACTGCATTTATGTACAATACTTATTTCACTGGAATCCTCCTCATAATCAGAGATCATCAGTTTTTCTATTTATCGAGGGGTTAACCACTCATGTGACCCACTGGAATGAGGAGAGAGCAAAAGGCAACAGAAAATACTAGTAAGTTGGACTTAAAGATAGAAGATTAAAAAAAAAAAAGACGATAACACTTATTACCTCTATGCATGAGTATAATGCTACTTGAGCTGTCACCTGATAGAAGAAATGGCATGGGTGGTGGTGGGGGGATGATATTTGAAAAAGGATAAGGAATCCTTTCCAGAAAAATGTGCCTGGGAGTTCAAACTTCATAGCTACTGCACATTTGAAAAAGTTTGACTAGATAAAGTTTTCTGCCTCGGGGGAGAGAAGTCCAGGAATCGGGATATTGTTTTGCATTTTAAACCTTTGGAAACATATTTTAAAAATTAAACTTTTTTTTCCAGAGGCATGGATGCATAGAACAGACTGACAGATCTCAGAGGGGAGGGGAAGGAAGAGATTAACCAAAGAACATACATGCATAGCCCACGGACACAGGCAATATTGTGGTGAAGACCTGGGGAGGAGGAGGGACTGGGTAAAGGGGGAGGGATGGGGGACATCTGTAATACTGTCAACAGTAAATTTTAAAAATGTAAACTTTTCATTTTGAGATCATTGTAGAATCACTTGAAGTTTGTAAGAAGTAATACGGAGAGACCCCGGGTACACTTGACTGAGTTTTCCCCAGTGATAACATCTTGCAAAACCAAGACAGCGATATTGATAGAGTCAAGATACAGAGCTGACACTGGAAATTTTTAAATGATTTGATCACTGTAATAACCATTCCCACATTCACCCCAGTCAGAAACATTATTTTAATTCCGAAGTTGGTGTTTCCCTTTCTTCAAAGCTACAAGGGCCCTTCCTTTGCCTCTGTAACATGTTTCCTGAGTCCATTTCTTCTACACTTCTACAGCTCACTTCTACCTCTGTGACTTTCTAAATAAACTTTCTCTTACAGTTTGAAAACAAATAAATTCCAAAGTCGGACAGTAAGGTCTTAGGAGGTATATCAGCCGGCGCACTGGAGTTGAGGCTAGATTGCACAGTGATCGGAGAGGCAGCTGGCTGCTGGCCTGCCTGGAGTATTACTCACTTTTCTTTCTTTCCAGGAGTTTTAGGCGATTGACAACCAGTTGCAAGTTGACCCGAAGGCGATCAGCTTTGAAGACAGAGCCGAACATGATTTCACCACAAGGCACAGCAACTCTGAGCAAGTTTCCCAGAGAAAGAGAGAGTTTATCAGTGTCATGGGAGCTCCAGTTTCTCAACATCCACTTTATTCATTCAACAAGCCCCATGGAATGAATTCCTGACTGCTCGGTAATGGCCTGGCGGCACTTGCTTCTCCACGGACCCATTCCACACACATGACTCTTGCCATTCAAATAGGGGTTACGTTTCCTCCAATTTATTCCAGTCATCAGTGTTTTTGCTGAAACTTTTGAGAGTTCTGCAGGAAGTTTCTGACAAACATGAAAGTCTTTGGCAAGTGTCTAAGGAAGCAGACAACAAAGTGTGATTCCCCTCCCCACAGGACATATTACTCACTAATGGAGAAATTGTAAGTCCTCCTTCTAAAAAAATATTAATGAATTTGAAAGGGAAATCCCCATAGGAAGAGATCACATAGCATTAAAAGCACATGGGAATGAGGACATAGAATTTTTCAGAGAAGTAGATAAAACACAAGCTTAAAACATTGCACGTTTCCATATTTGGACATCCAATGCCAGGCACCAACATGTTCCTAGGGAAAGCTAAAATCTGTATCAGTATCTCAATAATTTCAATACATGCTTGAGGCTAGTTGTTGTCTTCTGCCACTGGCATGCAAAGTGGAACCTCCTTTCCTAACATGACACCTGTACATGCTGAAGCACACAAGCAGGAAGATGCGACAGTAGGAAAAATGCCACCTCCTCCCCTTGTTATGACACACATGGTTTCCCAAGTTACAAGTACTTCTCTCTGGTTTGATCCCTTAATGTCAAAAAACAAAACACCAAAAATAAAACCAAACTGGGGTAATGGTCTGAGCTTCCCATGCCTGTGGTACAGGTCTAGAAAAACCACAAAGAGGAAACAGGCAACACGGAGAGCTGGTTTGAAGCTCCTGCCCGCTCAGGGAGCAGAACCAGCCCGGCGGGGTTTTGTCGTTATTTTCCTACCAACAGGGTAGCGTAGGCTCTCCCATCACACAAATTCAATCTGCACACATCGCAGGAATTCAATATGAACCTAGGGGAAGCGAAGAGGTGGAAAAAACATTGCAGTTTAATTCTCCCGTCAAAAAAACAAAAAACAAAACACCAAAAATAAAACCAAACTGGGATAATGGTCTGAGCTTCCCATGCCTGTGGTACAGGGCTAGAAAAACCACAAAGAGGAAACAGGCAACACGGAGAGCTGGTTTGAAGCTCCTGCCCGCTCAGGGAGCAGAACCAGCCCGGCGGGGTTTTGTCGTTATTTTCCTACCAACAGGGTAGCGTAGGCTCTCCCATCACACAAATTCAATCTGCACACATCGCAGGAATTCAATATGAACCTAGGGGAAGCGAAGAGGTGGAAAAAACATTGCAGTTTAATTCTCCAGTCCCCAGATATCCCAAATACCTTTAAAAATCTCCTTTCAGTTCATCAGTTCTTTAAACTCTGTGGGGGGAAGAAAAAAAAAACTTGGTGAAATAAAACAGAAAGACTCTCAGATGAGATTGAGAACAGATAGCAAACAGGTTAACTAGGTAAGAGTACATAAATGAGGAAATGGGAGCAAAGGAATTAGCAAGGAAGGTCTCCCGGTGTGGGGTATCTTTGTGAAATTTCATTCAACAACTATCTATTGAGCCAGTTACAGTGTTTAAGACCCCAGGTTTACTTAATAGAAATAACTTACATAAAGAATTATCCAGATATCAGAGAATAATACAGATTTTTTTTTAGAGAGATAAGGTAACTTTTGGTTATTTGGTTATTTCAGTGTCTTAAGTCTAAAAACTATGTTAGTTTACTTATCACTACTATTCCTGTTAAACGGACACTATGGAGCTTCCTACCATCGAAATGTACGACCAAAGAAATCAGGATTGCTTGGAGTAAAGATTTCTAAAACAGGAGACAGCAGAGAGATGACCCACCCTTTTGCGACTGCAGCACCAAACCAGGAAATCACCTGTGTTTCACCAATCAGAACATCCTGTTTTTTTAACCAGACATGCCTTTGCACCACGTAATTGTAATTAATGGCTGGTAGTCAAAAACATTTTTTTTGCTTGCGTCTACCTGTGTCTGCTCTTTCAACTTGTCTGAAAAACAGACCTCGGAGTGTGTATCTTGATCTGGGAAAAATGAGCTACCCTTGAATACACCTGGATGGTTCAAGGAGGTCTGTTTTATAATCTTAATGCCAGTTTAGTGAGCTAAGCAATGAACCTAGAAACCAGAATGCCAGCTAGTGCTAAAACGGAATCACTGAGTGACCACAGGACTTCCTTCTTGGCCAAACTGAGAGAGATGACTATCATGAGTAATATTAATATTCATGAAGCAAAGCCCTCTGATTTAGATGGCTACACATCAGTAGCTTCACTATGTTTTATCCACGGGTGCAAGGGGTGTGTGTGTGTGTGTGTGTGTGTGTGTGTGTGTGTTTGTGTGTGCAGTTCAATAATTTTGATGATTCTTTGTCCCCATCAAGGTGAGAAAATATTGAAATTGAGATCTAAGGATTCCCTTGAAAGAATCTTAGAGGTCATACACTTTATTTGTATTTCTTTGTTTTTATTTTAACTTATTTTAATATTTGTAAGGTAATATTTTCATTAAAAATCCAAACAATAACATAAGTTCCTTTTGTTTCTTTCGGCCACCATCCAATTCCACTTTCCTCTCCCAAAATAACCAACATTAGCTAGTTGTTACACATCCTTCCACTCTTTCTATACAGATACCTATGCAACTATAATGTTATATCTTTTAACATTAAATACATGATATTGCACTGTACATGTTTGCCTATTTTTTTAACTTAAAATTTTTAGAGCTCTTCTATTTACATTTTACTCCCACCCCTTCATTTAGTTTAAGCTTCTCATTTTGCAGAAGTGCAAACCCAAGTCAAGTAGTAAAATGACTTTCCTAAGGCCAGATAGCTACACAGTAGGGACCAGGGCACAGTCAGTACTTTTTAAATCAGCCAAAAAGCAATGATTATTTATTGAACAAAGTTTGCAGAAACTGCAAGGGGAAAAATCCACTCAGAATCCAATGTCTCTCCAACAGGCAAATGCATTTTTTTCTCAATTTAGTTTGTTTTTTTCTGTATGCAGAACTACTTTTTTTTTTCATAGATGTATTGTAACCGAAGCACAAATTCAAATGGTGTCCATTTTATTTCAGTTAAGTTAATCAGAAGTTCATGTTACTACGAAGTTGACTAGTAGTTAATTGGCAATGAAGGATGACCTAACATTGCAACACATTGTCAAGCCCTCTTCCATTAAACTAAGCTGCTCCCCATTGTACTAAACCCCTTCCTCTCATTTCTCACAAACCTCCCACTGCTTGTTTCACTTTCCCCCTAGATCCCCTCAGAGAGGTTTCTGAATTCTTTTTTTCTTAATATAATTTTATTGATTTCAGAGAGGAAGGGAGAGGGAGAGAGAGATAGAAATATCAATGATGAGAGAGAATCATTGATGGTGCCACCTCCTGCACTCTCCCTACTGGGGATCGAGCCTGCAACCCGGGCATGTGTCCTTGACCAGAAAGGAACCCAGGACCCTTCAGTCCGCAGGCCGACACTCTATCTATCCACTAGGGCCCTTTCTGAATTCTTAAAGAGCTCCCATCGCCACCCTGGGTCTCCAGGGGGATGTCTTTATTCTCCTGGGCCTGGTGGCCTCCGGGATTTCAGAAATCAGGCCCAAGCCCTAGCTGGTTTGGCTCAGTGGGTCCCGGGTTCGATTCCGGCCAAGGGCACAAGCAGGGGTTGCCGGTTCCATCCCCAGTGCGGGGCGTGCAGGAGGCAGCCGATCAATGATTCTCTCTCATCACTGATGTTTATCTCTCTCCTTCTCCCTTCCTCTCTGAAATCAATAAATATATATATATATATATATTTTAAAATATATTTAAAGAGAAAGCCCGAGATCGCCAACGGCCACACCCCAGGGTTCAGCTCAGGAACCCCTAGAATTTCCTGGAGTAGCAAGACTGCGGGGTCATTGTGGGGTCAAGCTGAGGGGTCGGCCCAGCCCTGTTCACGTGACCCCGCCCCATGGGGAAGATTTCATTTTCCCATCGGAGCGGGCGTGGAGGTGACAGGCAGATGGCCAGTCCCCTCCCGTCTGGGGTTGGGGGGGCAGTGGGGGGGCG